TCACGGCTGCCCCAATACAAGACACAGCACTATGATAGTCAGATTTGCTGCCCCTGAGGCTGGGGCTTAATCTTCCAAAGTGTCTCTGGGGGCTTCCACCAGCTCCCCTCCTCTGTTCTGGACACCCCCAGGCCCAGCAGCCCTGTCCCTATCAGGAAGCAAGTGTCCTGAGCCTTACACTGGTAGCCTGCTATTTCCCAAAGGGAACTAGAGAGAAACCAAAGGAAAACAAAGCTAGAAACAACAGGAAATGCCAAGACAGAGGCAGACAGCCAAACTGGCTCAAGTCACTGTCCTGAGAGCCCAGGAGGGGGTGGGGTGCTAGGAACCAGGTCCAATTTCCTTCTAAGGCTTGAGGGACTTAATTGCCTTGCTCTCTGAAGTGCTGACTCCCAGGGGACAGTGACTGAGTGAATCCATCTTTTAAGGGCTCACTGTTAGGCTCACCCTGCTGGGGACTTTTCCACATGTCCCATGCTCCATGTGAAATATCCCTGTTAGACAGATGGGGGAAACCGAGGCCCAGAGGCAAAAATCTCTTCTCCTTCTGCCCGGCGATCACACAGCCAGGAAAAGGCAGAACTGGGATTCTAGGTCAGGTGGGCCTGGAGCCTGTGTCTTTGCCCAAGTGTCTTGCCTTCTCTGATCCTCAGCTTCCTGTCTGTAAAGTGAGGCTGTAGTTGGACAATTCTGAGCTCAGGGTGTGTGTGAAGGACTTAACACAGTGAGTGCTTAGTAGATTTTTGCTCAGGGAGCTGGGCTGGTGGGAAAGGGAGGAAGGCTGGGGGGAGGGTGGGGGGGCGGGTGCTGTTTCCTTGGAGAAGGAAGAAAAAACAGGAACTTCAACCACATCCGTGCATGTACTCAGTTTCCATTTTACTGTTGGCCTGTGTAGTCAGTCTCCAGTGGCTGTGCAGCTGGGACAGAAGAGTGGGCTGTGGGCCAAAGGAGGGCACTGTTGCCAGCACCCTCCCCCCTGCATGGGAACCCTTCTAAAGCCGGGGGTGGTGGCACGGGCCTGTAATCTCAGCTGCTGCAGGTAGGAGAGTCATGGTTGCAGACTGATCTACGCAAAAGCAGGAGACCCTATCTGGAAAATAACTAAAACAAAAACGGCTGAGGTAGTGGCTCAAGTGGCAGAGCGCTTGCCTTGCAAGCACAAGGTCCTGAGTTCAAAATCCTACTACCTCTGAAAACAAATGGGGGATCAACTACTGCGCGCACAGGGAATCCCAACACTCTCCATGTTAGAATTCAACCAGCACCAGAAAGGGGTCCAGCGAGCCCCATGAACTTGAGTCAAGGGGACTGCATCCCCAGTGGAGATGGCCTCCACACTCCATTATCTGACTTGGGGTGCATAGATGGCGCTCCTGGCGCGCCCTGCTAGGGTGAGTCACGGCACCTCCACGATCTGTCAAGAGGCAGATGGAGCTGGAGGAAGAGCAGGACCCGCAAGGGGACAAAGGGGGTGGTGGTGCCTGAATTGGGGGCAGGGCCAATGTAGCGACCTGCCCTTCTTTTCTCCCCAATACCCCAAGTCTCGCCATCCAGGGGAGCGCTTCCCAGGCCCGGGAGAGGGTGGAGACAGCCAGGTTCGGGGTTCTCTCTGGCTGAGCTCTGTCTCCTCTGGGGTCCTCGCCTCCGCGTCCCTGGCGTGCGCCCCAGCCTGGATGGGTGGAGGGAGCGGGCTCTCCGCGCCCCCTGCTGGACGTCGGCAAAGGCAGAGCCCCAGTGTGCGCTCCCAGGCCCACCTGCCTCGGGACGCGAAGTCCCCGAGCAAAGTCGCCGCTGTCACTGCGTGGGGCCCCGTATTATTATTTTTTCATGCGTATTGAGCGCCCTGGAGAGTGGGGCGCCAGGCCGGCCGGCCGCAGGCTGCGGGTGAGGTCCTCGCCATCCCCGGATCGGGAACTGGCTTGGTCCCCATCCTCCACCGCTGGGCTAAGTGCCGCGGAGACAGCCGCCTGGCGGACGGCGATGAACTTGGCGGAAAAGTTGCGCACGCGGAGTTCCCGTCCCGTCCCGCCCACGCGCGCGTGCAGCTACCGCGGCCTCCCAACGCCAGCCCGCGTTTTCACTCCCAGCATCCTGTGCGCCCTCCTACCCAGAAAACCGAGACAGAGTGACTTGCCCAAGGTCACACAGCAAGGAAGGACAGGTTTAGGACTACAAACCAGAACAGTGACTTAGAAGTGAGATGTAGCCTTGCTGGCTGATTTGCTGTGTGACCTAGGACCAGAGTTGTCTCTCTCTGAGCCTCAGTTTTCCTGATCAGTTACACTGGCTGAAATTAATGAGAAGTGTCCCATGCCGGGGACTGTTTTGAGAAAGCATTTCCTCAAATGACATCGGCAGAGAGAAAGGTCCTTCAAACCACAAACCCAGCCCCGTCTTTCACTGGTAATAGTGACTACAGCTCAACCAAGCTGCAGAAAACTAGAGCCTGGGGGAGTCACAGGCTGGTGGGATGAAGACTGAGTTTTGACGATAGGAAAGGGGTCAAATGCGAAGCCACTCTCCCCGTTACTTGCTTGGTGACCCTCATCTGCTACAGACCCCTTCCTCATCTGTGTCAGGACCACTCATTATTGGGTTTTTTGTTTGTTTTTTGGTGGGACTGGGGTTGAATTCAGGTCTTTGTGCTTGCAAAGCAGGTCCTCTTACCACTTGAGCCACTCCTCCAGTCCATTTTTCTCTGGTTATTTTGGAGATGGAATCTCTAGAACCATTTGCTAGGTTAACCTCAAACCGTGATCCTCCTGATGTCAGCCTCCCAAGTAGCTACAATTGCAGGCGGGCCCACGCTATCAGGACCACTCATTGTACAGATGCATGATGCAGATTGTAGCTGTGTGGACTTCTCAGACTAGTGAGTGAAGTCAAAATAAGTAAGCCATCTGATAATTATAGATGGTGACATGGGATAGAAAGAACAGAGAGAACCTGAGGTCAGGCAAGGCCTCTCCAAGGAGTTGACATTTGAGCAGAGACCTAAATAAATTGAGGAAAGATGCTATGTGAGTGTGTCTCATGGAAGAAGGCGCCGGCCAGAGAGAACAGCCAGTGCAAAGGTCCTGTGGTGGAAATATGAGCCCGGAGATGGGTATATGCTTGGGGCAAGTGGATGGAAATGAGGCTGGGAAGAGAAAGGGCAGCCCAAAGTCATGATCAGAGGTGGCTTTAGGCCTCTGGGTTCCTAAGAAGGGACTAAGGTCACCAGCATGGAAGGAAAATGATCTTTAATGGGCCTGCGCAGCCTACTGACTAAAGCTCTCAGCCTCTGGTGCTGAGCAACTAGGTTCATAAGCCTACTCGCTCCTTTTGAGCTGCGTGACCTTGGCCAAGTCATTTGTCCTCTCTGGACCTTGGTTTGACAACTCTGAAATGGGCCTACTAAGAAGCCTATTGCTCAAAGGTTGATCTGAGTAAAATTCAGGGAAGGCTGGGACCGGCCCCGGCCAATCAGTGGGAGACCCTGGCTTCCAGTTTGTACCATAACCACCAGGTCCTGGTGGGTGGTGCATGGATCTCAGTCGGACTGGGGCAGGAATTCTCACTTGGGGTCCATTCTTGCCCTCGCCCCCCAGGGGATTGTGGCAAATGCTGGAGACAGAAGTGAAGGAGGCTATCTAGTGGACAGTGGCCAGGGACACTGCCAGGGCACTAAACATTGGGGAGGCGGGGGCTCCCAGGATAGATTATCCAACTCCAAACCTCAGTGCCAAGGGAGGGGGACCGTTCATTCTCCACAAGGTTATGGTTCTTGCTGGGGATGGGGTGCATCCCCACTCACATGCTAGACAAGCAGTCTACCCCAGAGCTGCACTTCCGGTCCCCATAGCTTACGCTTATTTATTTATTTTTCAGGGGAGGGGTTGAGATGGGCTGGCCTCCAACTCTCCATCCTCCTGCCTCAGCCTCCTGAGGGTTGGGATTACAGGCGGTCGCCACCATGCCCAGCTAAAAAAATCTTAGTCTTAGGTATAAAGCACAGATATGCTGTCATCCTTTGGTCTGCATGCCAAGGATTGATTCCAGAACCCCTCCCCCCAGCAGAAAAATCTGTGAATGCTCAAGTGCCTTACATAAAATGCCACTGGGATCACACAGAACGTACAAGTCTTCCCAGAGACGTGACATCATCTCTGGCTGACTTATAACCTCTGATACAACGTAAATGTTATGAAAATAGGTGTTATGCCGTAGTATTTAGGGAAAAGTGGCAAGAAAAGAAAGTCTGTACATATTCAGGATGAACATTTGTGTTTCATTTTGAGACATGCTCTCACTCTGTAATGGCCCAGGCTGGCATTGAATTTGAGATCCTCCTCCCTCTGGCTCCTGAGTGTGAGGATTACAGGCATGCACCACTACACATGGCCAAATGCATTTTTTTTAAAAAAGTCTTTTCAATCTGCAGTTGGTTGAATCCAGGGACAAAAAAACCACAGCCATGGAGGATGGGCTGCACACACAGTACTTAAACAAGCATTAACATTTCATGGGGAAGACTATTAGGATTTTCAAAGAAAAAGTCCACTCAGGCCACTTCATAAGATGATAATGAAATAAAAGCTGGCAAATACTGGGTGAGAGCCTGGCTCAGATACCACTTGACCTTGAAGTAACCTTGAACAGTTTTCCTTATTTGTGAAGTGGGGTAAGCAGTAATACTAGCCCCTCCTGTTTGAGGGGATTAAATGAGACCATAGCTAAAGGCACTGAATGCACAGGAGGCCCTTTTTTTGGGGAGGGGGCAGTATTGGGCTTTGAACTCAGGGTCTTCTGCTTGCTAGGCAGGTGCTTTACTGCTTGAGCCACGTCTCCAGCCCTTTTTGCTTTAGTTATTCTTCTGATAGGGTCTTGAGTTTTTGTCCAGTGCCAGTCTTAGACCATGATCCTCCTACCTAAACTATGTAATCCCACATAGTTGTCAGTAAGTGCTTTGTCAGACAATAATTGTAGCTAACATTTAGTGAGTGCTTACTACGTCCACGCACTTCTGAGCTTTTTGCAGGTAAATTCATGAATTAGATATTCTTATTATGCCCATTTTACAGCTGGGAAAACTGAGGCTCAGTGAAATGAAGTGATTTGCCCAAGGCTAACTGGCTAAGAAGTGTCACAAGACCAGACTCAAACCCAAGTCACCTGACTCTGGGAAAGGTATTTCAGAGGTGAGATCCTCAAATAGATTCAACCCCTTTTTCAATTTAAAACAAGCTTCTCCCCCTTTGCAAATGCAAGGAGCCACAGACAGCTGGAATTATAATCAGCTGGCTGGCTTTGTTCCTAGGTCTTGAACCTTCTCAGTCTCAGTTTTCCTCATCTGTGAAATGGGATAATTCCTGCCTCACAGCATTATAGTAGGTGGACATGGAGAGTTGCACCTCTTGTGTGTGTAGTACTGGGCTTGCCACTACAGGGAAGTTGGGTTTGGGGGGTAAAACATGAGGTACGGGAAACCCATTTAAAGAGTGCCTTTGGGACTCAAGGATTGGAGGGAATGGGGGTGTCTTAAGGGCATTTTGGCAAACTCAGGGTTTCTAGGGGCAGATTAAGAAGTATATGACAAGTTTCATGAGTTGGGGTGTCCCGTGACTGTGGGTACCTCTTAGATTCTGGCACAGCCTGGGCCATCCCCAGAGCTATGGAGAAATCTACTGGTGTCCTTGGAGTCTGTGGCACCTCAGGAATTTGGTGGCATCTCACCTAGGTGTGAAGTCACCCTTGATGAGTTGGGGTCTTGGCACTTGTGGGTACGTTTCAGGGGTACTGTGCAAGCACTCAGGACCTGAAAGACATTTGAGGGACTATGGAGACGTTCCTGGGGTCTGGGAAGGACTCTAGGATTTGAGGGACCCACAATTGATCTGTGGGAATGGCTCTGTGCCTGTGGGTGGCTTTTAGGGGTGTCTGCATGACTCAGGGATGATGGGGTGCTCCATGGAAGAGCTGTGATGGTGGTCTTGAAATCCCAGGGTCTCTCTGGTGGGCTGTGAACACCACTGGGGTTTGTGGGTGCATCCTGGGACTCTTGAGGTGCACCTGGCATTTTGGAAAAATGGGGACATCTGGGGAACTGTGACAGTGCCCCGAGGTCTATGAAGACCTCTAAGAGCACGTCTGATTTTGGGGGAGAACCTAGGGACACCCCTGGGGTCTGTGCAGATGGCTCTTTCAGGGTAAGTGAGGGCGATGCAGTCCTGTGGGAACACTCAGACATTTGGGGGTTTTCGGAGATGCTTCCGGCCACCGTGGGGGACATCGAGGGACTGCAGGGCGTCCCCGCGGCTGCGGTTTGGGCGCCCCATGCCCGCGGGCCCCGCCCCAGGGGCGGCCCCAGCGCGAAGCCGGAAGGGCCGAGGCGGCCCGGGGCGGGTGCGGCCCGCGGGCCCCAGGGCTGGGCGCCGGCCTGCGAGGCCCGGGGTGGGCGGTGCCGCTCCCCAGCCCCGCGACCCCGCGGCCATGGCGCGGCCACGTGGCCTGGGCCGCATCCCCGAGCTGCAGCTGGCGGCCTTCCCGGCGGCGGCGGGGGCCGAGGACGAGGCCTTCCTGCCCGAGCCCCCAGCCCCGCGCATGTCCCGCCGCCCACGATCGCCACCCTCGTCGCCCGTCTTCTTCGCAAGTCCGTCCCCAACTTTCCGCAGGCGCCTCCGGCTGCTCCGCACCTTCCAGGATTCTGGGCGCCAGGCGTGGGCCGGGTAAGTGCGCGCCGATGGCCCAGGGTTCGAGTCCCCGCTGGTCACTCGGCGCGCGCCGGGTCGGGGGTCTGCGGCTTGCAGTCTCCGGCCTCACTGTTCCTCTTCCGTCACAAAGCTTAGATAAAATCTTCTTGGCCCGCCAGGGTTGCCGTGGAGACATCTGATAGGGCATGCAGTAGGCGCTCAATAAACGCCACGTCCCTCCCACTTCCTGCTCAAACCTGAAGCTGCGGTCACGCTTTGGGGGACTGCGGCCGATCTGTCATCTAAGGTGACGTGGGGACGTGTTCAGTTCTATTAGACTCAGTCTAATGGTCTGTGAAATGGGGCCAGAGGTGCTCTCCGAGGATTGCCGGGCCGTAAGGCGTAGTGGCTTTAACGCGCGCCACCGGTCACAGAGGTCAAATGCAAGTTCCCCGCCTGGCCAGCCCCAGGGTGGGCTGCGGACCCAGGAAGCCCGGGGTGGGGGGGGAGGTGACAGACCTAGAGGCTACATCCGGTCTGGCTTCTCAGTGTCCTTTTCTCCTGGAGACAGAGTGCAGCTTGGAGACGGGCACGGGCGGGCATCGGGGGCTTCTCTGCGTCTCTGCCTACCCCGGTGTCCCCTGCTCTCTGTACGCTCTTGTTTAGGACAGAGACTGGTGGGCAGGGCGCGGGCCCAGTGGCTGACTCTGGGGACAGGATGGGGGCGGGGACAGAGCAGGAGGAGGGACTGGGGCCTCTGGGAGCCCCGCAGGGATTCCTGAGAGACTAAGGGAAATCTGTACCCCTGTCTTCACTTTTGTCCTTCCTGTGTGTTTCTGTGTCTTCTCCACTCCCGGGCAACATCTCTCCATTGCGGACCCTCCCTCGGGTTTTGGTCACCCAGCCCCGCTCTCCACCCTCTGGGGCTGGGGCGAGGCCGGTTCCTCCAGGGCGCACTGCGATCGGGGACCTGGAGCTGGCACCGCTCGACGTCAGGGGAAAGGCGGGGCCCGAGGCAGAGGGGAGGGGGCGGGCGCGGAGCCCGGGAAACCGAAGCCCGGAGCGCCCCCGAGGCGGGAGGGGACAGGCGGGAAGTGTGCGCCCAGTTCCGCAGGGCTCCTGCAGGGGGAGGCAGGCGCGGAACCCGCCCTGGACGCGCGCGGGGCCGCCGACTGCCCGGGGCTGTCCCTGGGGTGGTCACCAGGGCGAGGGGGGCGGGTGTGGAGGCGGTGCTGGTGGCGGCCGCTGACACCTCGGGCCTGGAGAGCAGTGCGCGCCACACCACTGTGCAGCCGTCCCCATGCGCGCCCCGACGCCGCTGGGCTCCCATGCGCTCCAGCGCAGCGCCCCGGGCCAGGCCCCGGCCCCCTGCCCTGGCATTACCCCCGGGGCCCGAGCCCCTGATTCACTTCTCCTTCAGCGATGAGGACACTCGTCGGCACCCGCCAGGCAGATCTGTCAGGTGGGTGGCCCGCAGCAGGCGCCTTTGCGACCTGAGGGTGTTGGTTGTATTTGGGTGTGGGGGGAAGGCCCTGAGTCTGCCTTGGGGGAGTCCCCTAAGTGGCTTCCAAGATCTAGCCAGGGTCCCACCCCCTTCCCTAGCCCTAAGGTGTGGGGACTAGTGAGGGCTTCCTGAAGGTGGTGGCCCCAATACTGGGTGCTGGCCCCTATTCCTGCCTACCTAAGGTGGGATCCTTCCATCCTCTTTGTGCCCCTAAACTCTGGCATCTGGCTCTTACCCTGGCAGCAAATCTGGGTGTCCAGCGTCACCTGGGCTCCACTCCCAGGCCACTGGCCTGGTGCCAGGTCCCTAAGGCCTTGCTCCACTCAGTGTCTCCAACGCCAGCCCCCCCCCAACTGAAAACCAAGCTGTGGGGGGAGGGGCCTGGATGCCCAGAGGGTGTTTGTAATCAGCTGGGGCCAGGAAGTGGCCTTTAAGCTGTCTGGATTTTCTAGAGCCTTGTCCTTGGCACCCTAACCAGCCTGGGTCAGATACCTGGACAGGGTCCTCAATGTGGGCACACACAGCCACATTCAGACACATGCAGCCACACCCACATGCAGGGCAATTGGGGTCACCTCGTGTTTACTATACTAGGTGTGGGTTCCTGGCTAGTCAGGGCACCAAGAAATCCAGCAAGTGACCCATGGCCACACAGGTGACACACAGACCACAACAGCTCCAGCTGTCTTGCAAAGCAGCCTTACACCCATTGTGCTGGGTCTAGAAAGACGCTGTCACTGGAACCTTCTCACCTGCACCAGGACACACAGGTCAGAGACAGCCACAGCAACTGCAAGACATGCTCTTGTGAGGTCACATGGGCTCAGAAACACACAGATGTAGGCATAGGGACACCCACAAATCTCTGACTCCATGCACACACACAGGCATAATTCCATAGGACACTTGTGTGCACACAAATGTCCCCCCACCGCATCTCATCCATATACCAACACTCCTTGCACACCCAGCCATGCAAACAGCAGTGTCACCTGGCACCAAGTGCCTGCCTGGCAGACACATGCCAGTGCCTGCACTCAGTCTCCTTGTGACCTTCATGGAGTAAATGCCAGGCCATTCCAGAAAGGCTGCCTGGCACCTTCTACGAGTCGGTCAGGTCAGGTGGAAAACAGACAGGGAGCAGGGAGACAGCAGGCCTGCCTTCCATGTCTGCCCTGGGGAGCCACAAACCTGGTAATGGTGATTGAAGAATGTGATTTAGTGGCAACATGGTAGCCTGGCTGCCAGGTTCAAATCCAAGCTTCTACTATTCTCCTTGAGCCCCACTTTCAGTGTCTGGAAAATGGGACTTGCTCTCTTTTGAGCATTTGTTTTGGGGGCGGGTGTTGGGACTGGGGTTTGAATTCAGGACTTTGCACTTGCAAAGAAGGCACTCTACTGCTTAAGCCACACCTCCAGTCCATTTTGCTCTGGTTATTTTGAAAATGGGGTCTCATGAACTATTTGTCCAAGCTGGCCTCGAACCGTTATCCTCCCGATCTCAGCCTCCCAAGTAGCTGGGATTATAGACGTGAGCCACCAACACCTGGCTTGTGTTTGTCTTCATTAGGATTCTTACCATCTGTGACCTGTACCACCCCCAATCTTTGTTTCCCATCATCCCTTGAGCTGAACTCCCAGAGGTCAAGATCTGCCCTGCGCCTTAGGGTCCTCCACTGGCTTTACTGTGTGGCTCCTGAGGCCAGGTGGGCAGGCCTAAGGGCTCCACAGAGGGGGAGGCAGGTGGGAATGTCACCGTAGAGTGCCACCAAGTGGTCAGAGTCTTGGGCAGGTAATCTCAACTCTGACAGAGGTCTGGGCTGGCAGCTATGTCAGACAGCTGGCCATCCTTCAGTGTGGTTTGTGACTTTGGTTTCCATTGAGACCTCTCTGGCTGACTTTGGGCCACCCGGAGCTGTCAGGGCTATGCCAGGAAGGCCCAAGGTTCTGTATCAGCCCCTCAATAGCTAAACCTCTACTCCCAGGTGGCATTTCAACAGCCCCAGTCTCCTCCCTGCTTCCCTGCCATTGCCCAAGGGACATCCAGTCCTGAAGCACAAACAGCCAAGCTCCAGGGAGCGTCCTCTTTCCATCCGGGCCCCTGCTTACGTGAGCTGCCGTCCCCCTGGGCAGGTGTGTCTGCTATTAACTTGTTGGCTGAGTGCCCTCGGGGCCTGGTCTGTGCTCCCTAAACTGCAGCTTGGGTTCCTGGGCTGGGGATGAGGTGGGCAGCCACTATGTAGGTATGCTCCTGTCCCCTGCCTGGTGGCACTCATGAGAGCCCAAAACTCCAGTCTGGGTCTTGGGAAGGAGGAGATCGTTCCTGGGCAGTGAGGCTGCCAACCCCTTGCCATGGCTTCTTCATGCCTTAGTTACTCATTGAACCCAATGTTAACAGGACCCACCTCGAGCTAATGGAAGAGCTGGGCATGGTAGTGCATGCCTGTAATCCCAGTAATCGAAAGGCTGAGGCAGGAGGATTATAGTCCAAGGCGGACCTGGGTAAAGTCAAAAGACCCTACTTAAAACACAACCTAAAAACAAAATAAAAAGGGATAGGAGCCAGGTGCTGTGGCTCACACCTATAATCCCAGCTACTTGAGAGGCTGAAATCAGGAGAATCGTGGTTCAAAACTAGCTTGGACCAATACTTTGAGATCCCATCTCCAAAAAATTAACCAGAGCAAAACGAGCTGAAGGTGTGGCTCAAGCAGTAGAGCGCCTGCCTCACAATCACAAAGCCTTGATCTCAAACCTCAGTCCCACTGAAAAACAAACAAACAAAAAACCACTCCAAACAAAAAAGGGGGGGGGAAGCTGGGGGTGTGGCTTATGTGATAGAGTGCTTGTCAAACAAGCACAAGCCCCTGAGTGCAAAACCCCAGGCACCAGCTGCACCAAGTGACTCACACCTGTAATCCCAGTTTTTTGGGAGGCAGAGATTGGGAGGATCACAATCTGAAGTTATCCTGAGCAAAAAAACTCGAGGCTACCTGAAAAATAGCTAAAGCAAGAAATGACTGGGGGTGTGGATCAAGTGGTAGAGCACCTGCCTAGCAAGCATGAGGGCCTGAGTTCAAATCCCAGTGCCACCTAAAACCAAAACAAAACCATGTATCACCAGAAAAAGAAAAACTCAGGGAACACATTATCATTACAGTTTGTGCATCCGTTATCCAAAAACCCAAAATCTGAAAGGCTCTAAAATTTCACAACTAGGTGAATGCCTATATGACACTACGTTGTGCGGTATTGCACCCCATGAAGTTTTGTTTCTTACATAAAATTATATTAAAAATAACATATAGATGAATTTTAGACTATGTATGTAAGATATATATGAAATGTAAATGAATTTTGTTTTCAGACAGGGTCTCACTATGAAACTCAGACTAGTCTGAAAATCTTCCTGCCTCAGCCTCCTGAGTGCTGAGATTACAGGCACAATCCACCTCATCCAGGCCTCATTCCTTTTTGAAGGCCGAGTAATATTCCACTGTATGGCTATGTCACATTTGCTTGTCCAAGAATTCCCTCACGGATGCTTAGGTTGTTTCTATTTTTGGCTTACATTTTGGGCTTGATTTGCATTTCCCTAAAAACCTAGTGGTGCTAAACGTCTTTTCTTGGTGATAATGACACCTCCTTTGTAGAGATGTCTGTTGAGGTCTCTTGTCTCCCCCCCCCCTTTTTTTGGTCAGTACTGGGGGTTGAACTCAGGACTTTGAACTTGTCGGGTAGATGCTCCACCACTTGAACTATGCCTCCAGCCTGTTTTTGGGTTGTTTTTCGTCTCTGTTTTTGTTTTGACAGGGTATCTTTATAACTCAAACTGGCCTCAAACTCAATCCTCTTACCTCAACCTCCTGGGATTATAAGCAGGCACCACCACACTTGGAACTCTTGCCTATATTTGAATATGGTATTTGGTTTTTTTGTTGTTGTTCAGTTGTATGGATTCTTTATAATCTGAGAAATTAATTCCTTGTCACATTTACATTTTTCCTTCCTTCCTTTCTAGAACCCAGGGTCTCCCATCCACGTAGTAGTTCTCTTTTCTTTCTTTTTTTTTTTTTTGGCAGTACTGGGGTTTTGAACTCAGGGCCTCATGCTTGCTAGGCAGGTGCTCTATCTCTTGAGCCACTCTGCCAGCTCCCCTACAGATACTTTTGATTTGGGTTTTGGTTTCAGATTCAGATACAGTTTTGGGTATGACGTGCATTGTTGGGGGAGTGGGAGGCAGAGCAGCAGAGGGGTGCCCTCAACAAGGTCTCCCTGTGACTCAGACGAGAGGCTGTCAGAGGCCAGAGATGCAGGGGTAGAAGAGGGAGTGACCCCCTGGTCCCCAGTCCCTTCTCTTGGAGTGAAGAGACCAGCTTCCTACAGGCGGATAAGCGGGGAGCAGGACAGGGTACAAGCCAGTCACCAGTAGCAACCTGGATAGACAGTGGCTCTGGACTTAGCTGACCTTAAAACACATGCTTGCATGCAGAGAATGGAGGGATCCCTGAAGTCTTTACAGATAAAGAGGATGTCCACAATCTTCAAAGGCACAGGTGCCCTCAACCCTTCATCTGTATCTTCTTTCTGGAGAAATGCCTTTCCCCATTTTTAAGTTGTGTAGGTTTTTGCTGTTGAGTTGTAGGTGTTCTTTATATATGCTACATACTAATCCCTTGTACCATTTTCTTCTGTACTTTAAATTGTCTTTACCCTCAAAACAGTGGACTATAGTGGACAGGCCACTACTTGCTAGGCAGATGCTGTACCATTTGAGCCACTCTGCCAGCCCTTTTAGGTGATGGATTTTTTTGAGATAGGGTCTCAAGAACTGTGATCCTTCTGATCTCTGCCTCCTGAGCAACTAGGATTATAAGAGGCTCATAGCTCTTTTCTTTCTTTTTCCTTTTTTTCTTTTTTTTGTTGTGAAACAGCATTTCATGCTATAGTTCATAAGTTCATTAGTTGTGAGGCCTTTTGATCATTTGGTTTTAGTAGTTATGGACAATGGTGCTGTAAACATTTGAGTGCAGATTTCAGGCAGACAAATTTTCTGCCTAGAACTATCTAGAAGTAGAGTTTTTGGCACATGTAGGTTTAATTTTATAAAGCCTGACAAACCTTCTTCCAAAGAGGTTATGCTGCTTTGCCCTCCTCCCTGCAACGTACTAGCGTCCAGTTGCTCCACCTCCTTGCCAACACTTGGCAATGTCAGCTTTACCATTTTGGTTTGGTTTGCTGTTACTCATTTTCTAATATTCAGTAATTTTGAAGCTGGGCTCGGTGGTACATGCCTGTATACCCCAGCATTCAGGAGGCTGAAGCAGGAAGATCTTAAATTCTAGGCCAGCCCGGACTACAGAACAAGACCCTGCCAAAAAACGAAGTCAAAAATAATAGTTTTGGATGTGGGAATGGAACCCAGGGCCTCCTGCAGGCAAGGCAAGCCCTCTACCACAAAGCCACCTCCTCAGCCCTCATGCTTTTAATTTGCATTTAATTGAGATGGTTGTCTCCCTAACTTTTTTGCCTGGGTTGGCCTCAAACCATGATCCTCCCCATCTTGGCTTCCCAAGTAGCTGGGATTACAAGCATGAGCCACCGGTGCCCAGCGGTAGCACTCATTCTATCTTAGAGGGTTCAGTGTTGCCTGATTCTATAACTGAAAATGAAAGCCAATGAAGCTCACTACAAGCCAGGAGTGGGCAGCCATGCCTGTAATCCTAGCATTTGGGAGACTGAGACAGGAGGATCTCAAATTCCAGGTCAGCCTGGGCTATGAGTCTGTCTTGAAAAAAAATGAACTGGACTCTATGGCTACTCTGGGTCGCCATCCCCACTATTCTTCTGTTGCCTGCCTGGTCACTGTAGCACTAGCTCCAGTGGGGGTGGAGGAGGCAGAGGGCAGCAACTAACATTTTAGTCAGAAGTCCCAAGACCTGGGTTCTAATTCTGACCCTGTTATTACCTTGCTGTGTGACCCAGAATTACCCATTCTCCAGTCTAAGCCTCAATTTCTTCATCTGTAAAATGGACCCTAGGAGTAGCCCAGAAAAACAAAAACAAAGACAAAAAAAACATTGCTGTCCTGGTCTAGGAGATCGTAATCTTATTTCTTACCAGAGTCCATTCCAGTAACATCTTACGCTGACTCTCCACATGTAGGAGTGCTCCCATTACACACACTGAGAATATAGCCTGAACTCCACTGGCCAGTCTAACCCCCTGGCTTACACAATAAAGTAATAGCCCAGAGAGGGAAGCAGCTTTCCTGAAGTCACACAGCCACAAAGCTTGCCACTCTTATGCTCAACTATTCATGTCAACTCCTTTCTTGGGTCCAATCCTAAGTGGTCTGTTTGGGGCTGATGGACTTACTGTAATCACCAATGTTTTAACGCTAATCACATGGATGAGCAGGAGAGACAGTGGCTGTCATCTTTTGGTAGATGAAGAAACTGAGGGGTTATTTCCCCTCCCCCATCCCAAATTACATAGCTGGGCTGTATTGCAGCCAGGGAGCTCCCTGCCTTATCCTGGGGTTTCCCTCTTTCTGTAGCTGTGTCTCTGTCACTGTCTGTATCTCCACTCCAGCCACACCAACTTCCTTGCTAGTCTTCGAACAAAAACTGAATCCTGCCTCAGGGCCTTTGCATTTGCTGATCCCTCTACCTCAAGTGATTTCTCCCATCTCCTGACTCATAGGTGGCTCTCTGTCATCCTTCAGGCCCTGATGACCTGTCACCTCCTGAGAGGTCTGTCCCAACCATAGCATTCCACAGCCCACTTCATCATTCATTCATTCGTGTTTAATGATTCACTCAACAAACATTTTCTGGGTGTCCACTATGTACCAAGCTTCAGGGATACAGTGGTGGTAAAAACAAACAGCAATCCTTGCTCTGCAGAGCTTAGTTTTAGAAGGGAAGAGAGACAATAGAGAAGTGAAGTATAGATTGTGTCAGGCAAATAGTATATTGTCATTGTCATTATTCTTTGTGTGTCTGTTTTTAAGGGAGGGAAATAGGAAGTATCACCACAAGGGTTGTCAGTTTACATGGGTTGATTGGGGAGGCCTACCTGAGAAGGTGACAGTTGAGCTGAGGTCCGATGGAAGAGTCTGAAGTCTGGGCAGGAGAAACCGCTTGTGCAAAGGTCCTGCGGCAGGGATGTGTCTGGAATAGAGCAAATGGGTTGCAGTGTGGACTTTTGTTCTGAATGAGGTGGGAGCCTTGAGCTGACTCTGGTGCTCCCTACCTCCCTCTGGTGGCTCTGTGAGGAATAGATGGGAACAGGAGCTGGGGACCAAGAGGACCTTTGTGCTGCTGTCATGGCTGGAGAATCTTAGAGAGACAGATTTGCATAGATTTCTGGCAGCCAGGCTGATTTGAGGTAGGAAGGACAGTGTGGAGCTAAGGAGGACCCCAGACTTTTGTCCTTGGAGAGTCCCCAGCACCTGCATGGCATCTCGGCTTCCCTGCCTCCCATCTCTTTCGGGGTGCCTGTGTCTCTTTTTCATCATTCTCTTCCAGCAATTTCCTCGGCCTCAGTCTTCCTGACCCCTCTTTCCGCTTGTCCCTTGCAGCTTCGAGGCAGAAAATGGGCCGACGCCGTCACCTGGCCGCAGCCCCCTGGACTCGCAGGCGAGCCCGGGGCTCGTGCTGCATGCCGGGGCGGCCACCAGCCAACGCCGGGAGTCTTTTCTCTACCGCTCCGATAGCGACTATGACATGTCACCCAAGACCATGTCCCGGAATTCATCGGTCACCAGCGAGGCGTGAGTACTCCCTCTCCACCCTAGATCCCCTAGGCCTGTCCTGGTCACCAGCTGGCCCTTCCCAGCAAGGAATTGGGGGCACGCACCCCCACCTTGGCCAACCGCCCGCCCCCACATACCTGTGCTCCCTAGTAAAGACAAGCAGCCCCTTCCCCTCCCAAATAAAGGCCTTAGTTCCCTATAAAGGCCTAGCCCTGCCCACCTGCCGGGTCCAAGTCAGCTCCTACTTTTGGCGGCCCTGCTCCTGGCCCTCCCTTTATACTTTAGGTTAGCCCCGCCCACCAGGCCCGCCCAAGCCAGCTCCTGCCCATTGGCTGCCCTGCATCTGGCCCTCCCATAACATGCTGTCTTTGACTTAGCTCCGCCCACCAGGCCCGCCCACGTCAGTTCCTGCCCATTGTTTGCCCTGTACCTGGTCTTCCCTTAACCGGGCGTTCCTTATGTTAGCCCCGCCCACCGGACCCACCCAAGCCTCCTCTTGCTCATTGGCTGCCCTGTGCCTGACCCTCCCTTAACACGCCTTCTTTAGTTAGCCCCGCCCAAGCCTGTCCCTGGTGATTGGCTGCCCTACTTCTAGTCCTCCCATAACACACCCCCTTGTTTTAGCCCCGCCCACCACGCCCTGCCCAATCCCACTAGAGCCAATTGGCTGCTCTGCGCCTGGCGCTACCTTAACTGCCTCTTCCGAAAGCAGGGAGACCCTCTACTTACACCCACTTGGGACTCTCCCAGCCTTCCCCAAGCCAAACCCCCATTATCATGGAGCGTCTGTTGAGGTGGGAGCCCCTAGACTAAATTAGTCTCCTCCTCTCTCACTGCACCCCCAGCCTCCCCGTCCAACATCAGGCCCTACAGCCCTGCTCCCCAAAGCCAAGCACCGCCCCCACCAAGGCAGCCCCTGCAGCATCCTCGCTCTCCGCACCCCTTCTTTTAGCTTTGCACCCCCCACCTCCACATACCTGAGTCAATTCCCCGCCCACCATCTGCTTGGGGACCAATCCTAGCATCATGTCCACACTTGGGTGGTGTAAGTGCCCCGCCCCCTTGCCTGCCAGCTTCCAGCCCTGACTGACCGTGTCCACCCCAGAGAGCTGCTTCTCTAGGGAACTGTGACCTGTCGCTGTCCTTGATTGCAGGCACGCCGAGGACCTCATCGTAACACCTTTTGCCCAGGTGAGACCTGTCCCCAAATATTTCAAGAGGGGAGAGACTCCAACCATTCCCTCCATTCTTGGGGAAGGGGCCTAGATCCCACCATTCTTCTAGGTTAACTCCTCTTATCGCTGTGCCCCATTCCAGGTGCTGGCTAGTCTCCGTAGTGTTCGAAGCAACTTTTCACTCCTAACCAATGTGCCCATTCCGAGCAACAAGTAAGTACAGGTTGGGCCCTAACTATCATAAACATGAAGATCAGCACAACAGGTTTGACTTTTAGTCCTGCTGTGTGACCTCAGGCAGGCACATGACCTCTCTGAACCTCTGTTCAGGCAACAGCTCCTTCCAAGCCAGAGAATGATTGCAGTTGAAGGCTTAAGACACCAATGCTTTTGTAAATAAAGACCCACAGTTCACACCTGTAATACTAGCTACTTGGGAGACTGAGATCAGGAGGATCACGGTTCAAGGCCAGCCTGGGCAAATAGTTCAGGAGTTCAGGAGACCCCATCACCAAAATAACCAAAGTAAAATGGACTAGACTGTAGCTCAAGCAGTAGAGTGCCTGCCTTGCAATCGCAAAGCCCTGAGTTCAAACTCCAGTCCCACCAAAACAAACAAAGACCCAGAGATCTGGATGCATAGAGCCACTCAGGGCTCTGGTGCCAACATGCTGGGTAGATAGCAAAGCCCTGAGTTCAAACTCCAGTCCCACCAAAACAAACAAAGACCCAGAGATCTGGATGCATAGAGCCACTCAGGGCTCTGGTGCCGACACGCTGGGTAGATAGCATCTTTAAAATGGGAATTACAGCAACCGCCACTAGATGCTGTGAGCAATCCCGGAAATAACATATAGAAAGTGTTCTGCACATAGTAAGTGCTAAATAAACAGGAGCGGTTCTTATTATTTTAGGGCATAGGGTGTGACTGACAGCTGGCAGTCCTAGGGTGCAGGGACAGAGCTCCACAAAGGTCTGAAGATGTTGGGCAGAATAGTGAAGGGAACAGAGATTCTGGAAACCCAGCATCTGACCTTAGCACGCTTTAAGACTCTACTTTCAGCCAGGCACAGGTGGCTCATGCCTGTAATCCTAGCTATTTGGGAAGCTGAGATCCAGAGGATTGCTGTTGGAGGCCACCCTGGGCAAATAATTCTCAAGAACTAGTGTTCTCCAAAATGGATTGGAGGTGTGGCTCAAGCGGTAGAGCCCCTGCTTTGCAAGTGCGAATAAAGCCTTGAGTTCAAACCGCAGTCCCGCCAAAAAAAAAAAATCTGTTTTCACCATCTTGAGCCTCAGCTTCCTCGTTTGTAAAATGGGATCTAATGGGTTCATTGAGGCTGCAGGCAGTGAACATGGTAGCGTGTTTGGGACGCTTCAAACACCCAGAAATGAGAAAACTTAAATTCATGAAGGCGGGAGGGCAGGGATGGGGACAGGCTGACACTGAAATCCCATTTCTCTGCAGGCGGTCCCCGCTGGGCGGCCCAGCCCCTGTCTGCAAGGCCACGCTCTCAGGTAGCTAAGCCTACGGGTGGGAAAGGGTCCCTCACCCCGGGTGGTTGTTTTAGCCCTGTCCCCACCCACCTGGTGTACCCCCTATCACCGCAGGCTGGGGTCCCTGTGGTGTGTGCCTGCATTCCCTATGGGTCACCTCTTGGGCCACCCCTTTCTCAGAGGAGACGTGCCAGCAGTTGGCCCGGGAGACGTTGGAGGAGCTGGACTGGTGCCTGGAGCAGCTGGAGACCATGCAGACCTACCGTTCTGTCAGCGAGATGGCTTCGCACAAGGTGTGAGGTTGGGCGGGGCTAGTGGACCAATCACTAGGCACGGACCCTGGGGGTGGAGCTTATGGGTGGAGCCAAGCAGCGGGTGGGACCAGTGGGGCTGGGCTAATTTCTGGGTAGGGCCTATCGGGGGAGAGGCGATCCTGGGGCGGAGCCTGTCGGCAAGGCCAATCACTAGGCGGAGCCAGGGGATGAGACCAATCATTGAGCCAGCCTGATGTGGGTAGGGCCAATCTCTGGGCGGGGCAACCATTGGGCGGCAGTTTCAAGACCTCTAGTTCTTGTAGATTCTGACTTGTCCCAGGGCTGGAGGAGCCTGATGTGTGTCGGGGTGTGTGTGTCTGGTTTTCCATCTGCTCACAAGTGACTGTGTCTTTTGGGTAGCAGGGGTTTGTCTGTTTGTACGGTCTGCGGATGTGTATCTGTACTGATGTAGATGTTGACTTATAGCTACCCATCTGCGGCGTGGCTATGTTTGAGGCCGGTTCTGAGGGGTGGCACACAGGTGTGTACCTGTAGAGGGTGTATGTGCACAAGTGACTTTGTGAGGACTATGGCTGTGTTAAGTGCAGACTGTGCCAGAGGAATGTATATGTCTGCAGGTGTGATTTGGTCCAGGTGCAAATGTGAGTGGGTATCTTTTAAGTATTTGTGACTTCATGTTTGTTGGTGAAGGTGCAGTGTGCACTGCACAACTCCAGGGGGCACCATTGAGAAAGCAGGCAGTATGAATGGTGCTTCCTGGAGTGCTCTGCAGCGTGGTGGCAGCCCTGTGGGCGGGTGCCTATCAGGAAATGAGTGTTCAGGTGGGGGTGTCTTGCCTGGGGAGTGCATACATCTGTGGGCGGAGGCTTGTCTGTGAAAATGTGAGTTCGAGGTGATCGTGTCTCCGACGATGGGTCAGGCAACTGAGAATGTGACTGTCTCTATGTGGGGTGTGTGCCAGGATATGTCTTTGTGTCTGTGTCTCTTTGTGTGTGTTTGTCCTGAGGTGTGTGTGTGTGGCTGTAGGTCCATGTTCCTAGAAGGGGTGTTTGCGTCTCTGTGCGCAAATGTGTACCTGTAAACGTACTGCACGTTAGAGTTGTGTCTGTCTCCTGGGGTGTGCATGCGTGCACGTGTGTGTCATTTAAGGACTGAGCTGAAAGCGTTGGGTATCTGTGTGTGTTGAAGCGCCAAGTATCTGGGCAGGGGTTGGTGTCTGTAGATGGTGTGTGTCTCAGGCCATTTGTGTGTCTGTGAGTGTGTGGAAGGTCTGACTGTATCAGTGGAGGAGATACATCCTCAGAGGGGTGTGGTGGCCTCCCTGCCTCCCCCCAGCAGCCTCTTCTGGGTCCTGGCTGAGGCCCGTGGGCTCTGATGCCCCTTTAACGCCCCCCCCACTCCAGTACCACCTGACTTCACATGCAGCCTGCCAGTGCTGCAGTGAACACGCGCGCGCACACACACACACACACACACACACGGGTGCACACACGGAGCCCCAAGCCTCCACAGCAACCTCCTCTGGGGACCCTTGCCCCGCGTGCCCCCCATGGGCAGGGGCCCCCAGCAGCCTCCAGTCACCGCCGTGGGGGGGCCCATTAGGACCAGGGGCTGGTGGACCATGTAACCAGGGCTGCTGCTGGGAGCGCGGAGGGGAAGGGAGCCCCCAGCCCTGCTGGGCCGGCCCAGGCCCCTCCGCGGCTCCCCCTTCCACTGCCCCACCTGCCTACCCCTCCCCCCCAGTCCCCGTGGCTGTTGACCCTGGGATTCGCCAAGCTTAGCCAGTGCGTGCGGCAGCCCCGAGCGGGGCTAAGTCTTCAAGATGCCCCTGGTGGATTTCTTCTGTGAGACCTGCTCCAAGCCCTGGCTGGTGGGCTGGTGGGACCAGGTAGGGGAAGTGAAGGGCAGAGGATGGGAGGGAGACCCTCCACCCCAGTCTCTCCTGCTCCCTGGGTGGGCTTGTGTGTTCAGCTGTGCACGTGTGTGGCCTGCACATGAAGCCTTGTGATCGTCTCTGTGTGTGGCCCGGGGCTGGGTGTAGATGGTGGGTGGCTGGGGGTGTGTGGCTCTCCCTAAGGAGGGTGGATCACCAGCTGGATGTGGATGTGTCTGCAGTGGTATGTGTCTGACCTGGGTCCTGGCGTGGCCCTGTCTGTGATCAGTTGGCTCTGACCTGATCTTGTGTGTTGGGTCATGTTTATGAGCCCAGAGCTGCCTGATGTTTCTCAGGCATGTGACCTCAAGTGTCAGTGACTGCCTTATTGTGGGTGCCCCTTTATATGTTTGTCTGGGCTGTGTGACGCTGTGTAGGATGGGGACAGCCTGGGATTCTGTGCCATTGTGTGAAATTGTGTGTGTGTGTGTGTGTGTGTGTGTGTTCACTATTTGTATCCAGGGTGTTCAGGCAGCCCTGGGAGAAGTGACCACCTGTCCCAGAGTGGGCTATCCTTCCTGCCTATGTGCCCCCAGCCACACGGGACAGAGGCTGTTCCTGTGTTTTGACGAAGCTTGGGGGCGGGGAGCCAGTGCCCTTCGTCCATGCACAATGTCACAGCAGAGGCCTGTGTGAAGTAGCATGGGGGACCAGGAGGGATTCCCAAGCCCAGTTTTAGGAATATTCTATTCATCTGTGCATCTGTACATGTCCATGGGGTTGGGGGGAAAAGGGGGCGCTGACGGAAACCCCCTCCCCAGGTGATTGAATTGGGGTTTCTTCAGCTCACTATTCTTTGGGATCCCGACCAAACCTTCTCATTCCCCAGAGTTTGAGTGCCACATTGCAAACCCAACTGGGGCTGATGGCCAGGACCCCCAGGGATTGAGGCCATGTGTGACAAGACCTGGGCCCAGGGTAACTCTGGAAAAGCAAGGGTTAAGGGGCCTGTGGCTTGCCCCCCTTTCCCCAGCTCAGCAGCTGGTTGGAGGGGGAGTTGCTAAGGAGACTCCCATCACCATGGTGACGAGAGTCTCCTGGTACCCCATTGGCTCCCTGTTAGACAGGAGCCCCTCCCTTCCACAGGTGCCCCTCTGGCTCCTCCTTAAGGGAGGTAAGAGAGGGGAGTCCTTTTTTCCTCAGGCAGGGAGGGGTATGCTGATTCTGATCCCCCCCAAGCCTGGGGCCCCTATCCAGAGCTAGGAGGAGAGGAAGGGCTGACCCCTCTCCTCAAGCAGCCTTCAAGGGACTGTGAGCAGAGAAATCCAGGTGACTCTAAAGTCTTGAGGAGTGTGAGGATGGACTGCATGTACACACCCCCTACCCCACAATGACCCCCATCATGCCTTCCTTCTTGGCTCCTTTACCTTAGTTCAAGAGGATGCTGAACCGGGAGCTCACACACCTGTCTGAAATGAGCAGGTCGGGGAACCAGGTCTCAGAGTACATTTCCACAACATTCCTGGGTGAGTGAAGGGCCTGCCCGTGGTGTGGGAGGGACACCTGGGCTGAAGGAGTCTGCCCTGACCCTTAACTTCCCTAAAAGTCACAGGTCACCCTGCTCAAGGGCTCCCACACTCATGAGGCCCCCCCCACCTTGTATGAAACCCACATGTAAGAATATCTCTGTGGGTCTGGGGACATGGTTCTGTTGTAGAGCACTGTTCTAGCATATGTAAAGGCCCTGGGTTCCATCCACAGCACCACAGCAGTGGCTCAAGAGACAAGCCTTACAGGTGTGTGCCTGTAATCACAGCTATATGGGGGCAGAAGTAGGAGGATCAGCTTGACACCAGTGGCTCTCACCCGTAATCCTAGCTACTCGAGATCAGGAGGACTGCAGTTCGAAGCCAGCCCAGGAAAATAGTTCAAGAGATTATCTAGAAAGAACCCATCACAAAAAAGGGCTTGGGGAATGGCTCAAAGTGAGGCCCTGAGTTCAAACTCCAGTATTGAAGAAAAAAAAGAAAAAAAGAAGAGGATCAAAGTCTAAGGCCAACCCTGAGCAAAAGCATGAGACACTACTTGAAAAATAAACTAAAGCCGAAAGGGGAAAGGCACCAGTGGCTCATGCCTGTAATCCTAGCTACTCAGGAGGCAGAGATGAGAATCTTGAGACACTTTCTTGAAAAAAATTCATCACAATAAAGGGTTGGTGGAGTGGCTCAAGGTGTAGGTCCTGAGTTCAAACCCCAGTACCGCAAAAAAAAAAAAAGCAAAAAGGGCTGGAACTGTGGCTCAAGTGGTAGAGCATTTGCCTAGTAAGTGCGAGGCCCTGAGTTCAAACCCCTGGCACCACCAAAACATACATAAAAAGAACAAAGAACCTATAAGTGATCCCTCAAAAACAGAATTTCCTAACTCCATGGAACCCTAAATTCAGTAGAGGATACCTCAAATCCATTGGAACTCTTAAACTCATGAGGAACTCAGACTTATCCTATCTTCTGAACTCAGGGTCCCCCTCGCTAAAAATATCCCTCCAAATTCAAGATAATTTCACCCTGACAATTTGTTACCAAACTCCAAAAGCTCACAAACTCAGGCGGACTCCTGCACCCCCGCCAGCAAGCTCAAAAGGGTTTGGAACTGGTGTGGTAGTGCACACCTGTAATCCCAGTACTGTGGAGGCAGAGGCAGGATGATCTGGAGTTTGAAACCAGCCTGGGCTACGTAGTAAGTTCAAGGTCAGCTTGAACTACATAGAGAGACTGCGTCATAAGTAAATAAACAGAAATGTCCCGCCAAGCACCAGTGTCTCATGCCTCTAATTCTAGCTACTTGGGAGGCTGAGATCAGATGGATTGTGGTCAAAGGCCATTCCAGCAAATAGTTCAGGAGACCTCATCTTCAAAATAACCAGAGAGGAAAGTGGACTTGGAGGTGTGACTCAAGTGGTAGAACACCTGCTTTGCAAGAGTGAAGCTCTGAGTTCGAAGCCCAGTCCCACCAGAAAAAAGAAGAAGTCCAGAGTTTCACATGCTTCCACCAATGAGGGGCTGCTATGCCTTAGACTTCTAAGGATCCAGCCAATGGGAGCTTGTTATGTAAATGACCTCTATTAGGCCCTGTCATTGACTGGCAATCGCAGGTCATAATGGGTGGCCCTGGCTAGTCTATTTCTGAAGCCCTAGAAAGCCCAAGAAAACAGCTCCTGGGGCTGGTCCCCAGGCAGGCTCCTGCAAGGAGCCTATGGCCTCAAAGACCCTCTTTCCTCCATCCTCCCAAGAATGCCCCCCTCCAACCAGCAGTCTCAGCCAGTGTGGGATGCCTTCCAGGACAGGCAGTGGTTGTTTTGGCATCCCCACCCCACTTCCTGACTTTCCACCCATACCCACTTGCGGCCAAACCTGGCAATTTGACCAGGGTCGTTCCTCCAGCCTACCACATCCCAGAAAAATTCCCATGTCCCCTCTAGCTTCCAGCCTCAGAGTACCCATCAGTGTGACACTCAGAAGAATTTGACCCTTTTGGGTACAGCTTTCCAGGACATGGTGAGGGGCTGAAGGATAGGGGGTAAGTCCTCCCAGGGAAGCATGCTGATCAGGCCTGCAATTTTCTGCAGATAAACAAAATGAAGTGGAGATTCCATCACCCACCATGAAGGAGCAAGAATCACAGGAAATGCCACGACAGAGATCTTCCCAGCAGCCCCCGCCCCCGGTACCTCAGTTCCAGCCCATGTCACAGATCACGGGGGTGAAGAAGTTGACGCACGGCAGCGGCCTGAACAATGCCAACATCCCACGCTTTGGGGTGAAGACAGAGCAAGAGGAGCTCCTGGCCCAAGTGGGTGGGGGCTCAGTGGAGCCAGGGATCTCTGAGGGCCCCTGAGGACTCGGCATTGGGGGGATGCATCTGAAGCCAGATTTCCTGGAGGCAGACTCAGGATGAATGTGTCAGGGGGAGGAGGTGGAGGAAAGATGGTCAAAGAGGTGGTCTCAGCCGGGCACCGGTGGCTCACGCCTGTAATCCTAGCTACTCAGGAGGCAGAGATCAGGAGGATCCTGGTTCAAAGCCAGCCCCAGACACATAGTTCGTGAGACCCTATCTCGAAAACCCTTCACAAAAATAGGGCTGATGGAATGGCTCAAGGTGTAGACCCTGAGTTCAAATCCAAGTACTACAAAAAAAAAAGAGGTGGTCTCAGCTGGAGCCCGCCATCAGCCTGATCCCACAGAGGGCTAGGGATGGTAATGCTCTTTGAGCTGCCACTGACATCCAGCATTCGGTTGTGTTTATTAAGCACCTACTGTGTGCTGGTACCAGTTGTGGATTCTGGGGAAGCATGAGAAATAAGCCAGTGTTCCTTCTTTCCCAACTGGAAGTAGGAGCTCGTAAGCAGTTTAGCTTAGAGGCTGAGCTGCATGTGGGAGTCAGCCCAGCTGGGTTCCCATCCCAGCTTTGCCACGTGGGAGATCTTGGAGAAGTCATGTCACTGCTCTAAGCCTTTGTCCCTCACCAGCCAAACCTGACCAAGAATGCTTGGTTTGGTACTTGATGTGTAATGAGCATTCGGGAGACAGCTGTGAGCTGGGCATGGTGTCACACACCTGGAATCCCAGTGGCCGTCAGTCTGGGCTACATTGCAAGACCCTGGCTCCAAACAAAATTAAAAGTAAACAGATGCTATGTTAAATTTTACACTGATGAGCACATTCCATGAGCAGTAATGTGCTTTCCTTCAGACCAGGGCTCCAAGCTGCTAGCAGAGGGTCTCCAGGGCCCATGGGCCATGGCTGCTTCTGACCTCTCACCTCCATCTCCACCAGGAGCTGGAGAACTTGAGCAAGTGGGGTCTGAACATCTTTTGCGTGTCTGATTATGCCGGAGGCCGCTCGCTCAGCTGTATCATGTACACAATATTCCAGGTGATGGGGGCAACAGGGAGTGGGCCGGGACCTGAGGGGCGCAGGGCAGGGCGCTCCGGGCCCGCAGGGGTCACCGCCCTGCCCCTGCTGGCCCCCAGGAGCGGGACCTGCTGAAGAAATTCCGCATCCCTGTGGACACAATGGTGACGTATATGCTGACCCTGGAAGACCACTACCACGCTGATGTGGCCTATCACAACAGCCTGCACGCGGCCGACGTGCTGCAGTCCACTCACGTGCTGCTGGCCACACCTGCGCTGGACGTGAGTGCACCTGACCCCATCTCTCTGTAATCGCCCATCTCCCATTTCCTGTGTCTGACCTCCCTGTCTCTTTGGCCCCATTCCCTCTCATCCTCATCTTTCTCTCCTAATTAATCACATTAGGCAAGTGCTCTACCCCTTGAGCCACACCTCCAGCCCTTTTGTTTTTTATTTTCTCTTTGAGATAGGGTCATACTAACTGCCCAGGCTGGCCTCGAACTCTTGATTCTCCTGCCTCCACTTCCCAAGCAGCTGGGAGTAAAGGCATGCATCACCTTGCCTGGCTTCCTGATTTACCTTGAACCTCCCATCTCCCTCTATCCCTCCCATCCCTCTCTCACCCTGTCTCTTATCCCCTTCATTCTAACCTACCTCCCTCTGAGCTCCTCTTCCTGCCCCTCCAGGCGGTGTTCACGGACCTGGAGATTCTTGCGGCACTCTTTGCAGCTGCCATCCACGATGTGGACCACCCCGGGGTCTCCAACCAGTTCCTCATCAACACCAGTGAGTGGTCCTTCTCTGGGGCAGGCCCGGCTGGCCTGGGGGTGGAGCCAGTTGGACTGAGGGAGGAGCCTGCTGGTCAGGGAACAGGGCTTGGCCCAATGGAGGTGGATCTGAGAGGGCTGGCATGGGGCTAGCGGCCGGGAGGCGGGGCCAAACAGAATGGGGCGGGGCCTGTTGGATTAAGGGCGGGGCGTGCGGAGATAGGAGTGGAGCCACACCCCTGACCCCGGGGGCCTGCACTGCAGATTCGGAGCTGGCACTCATGTACAACGACGAGTCGGTGCTCGAGAACCACCACCTGGCTGTGGGCTTCAAGCTGCTGCAGGAGGAAAACTGCGACATCTTCCAGAATCTCAGCAAGCGCCAGCGGCAGAGCCTGCGCAAGATGGTCATCGACATGGTGGGCGGGGACAGGAGGGCAAGCGGGGAAGGGAGCTTAGAGGCCATGGGAAACCTTCCGAGGCCTGGCTGGGTGCAGTGGGCGGGTGACTGGGCATCAGTGTCCCACGTGACACCCCCTTGCCCCCAGGTGCTGGCCACGGACATGTCCAAGCACATGACACTCCTGGCTGACCTGAAGACCATGGTGGAGACCAAGAAAGTGACCAGCTCGGGGGTTCTCTTACTAGACAACTACTCTGATCGCATCCAGGTGCTCCTGTCCCCCCATACAAAATGCTGAGCCTTTCCCCACACATTGTCCCTTTAGATCAGGATGGATGTACCTTCCTTAGCTTCTACTTCCCGTGTCACCCATCTTCCTGGCTCTTTCTGTCCCCTCCACCACCTTCCTTTTCCAACCCCATCTCTCCTTCCCACATCCCCCCATTTCTCCCATCTCCCCCAGTTCCTCCTCCTCTTTCTTCATCAGCCCTTCCCATCTCTCCCCCACGGGACAAGACCTCTGAAGTCCCCCTCTCTTCTCCCCATGAAGGTTCTTCGGAACATGGTGCACTGTGCAGACCTCAGCAATCCCACCAAGCCACTGGAGCTGTACCGCCAGTGGACTGACCGAATCATGGCTGAGTTCTTCCAGCAGGGTGACCGGGAACGTGAGCGTGGCATGGAGATCAGCCCCATGTGTGACAAGCACACGGCCTCTGTGGAGAAGTCTCAGGTACAAGTTCAAGGCAATAATGGAAGGGGACAGGAGTTGCCTCCCCCACTTCTTGGCCTGAATTTCGTGGCCCAGGCCATCCTGACCTGCTTCTGCACAATGTCAAGTTCCTCTTTGTTTTCTTTTTTCCCGATGGGAAATATACCACATTTTCTCCTTTGCTCTGGACAATGGTCTGAGCCTCTGGAATCAGTTTGTAGACCTATCTGAGACATTTGTAACCATAATATACACAATGCTACTTAGACAGGTGTGGTGATTCACGTCTGTAAGCCCAGCCCTTGGGAGGGCTGAGGCAGGAGGATCAAGAGTTCCAGGCCAGCCTGGATTACACAGTGAGGCCCTGTCAAAAAAATAAAAATATTTTTAAATTTTTACTGGATAGTTAAATTCATAGGTAACTTAATAGCAATACTTTGTGGGTTTTTTTTAACTATACATTGTATCTACATATGCCTATGTGGCACTGGGCAAAATGGCACATTTGTAATGCTGGTTATTTTAGAAGCTGAAATAGGATTGTTTGAGCCCAGGGTTTCTGGGAGACTCTGTCTCTTAAATTACATGTGTGTGTAATAGTGGTCTTATGGCTGCTTTCTATTTGCCAAGGAGGCTGGGAAATGTAGTTTTTAACTGGATGTATTACCTCTTACAAGAAAAGTCAAGATTCTGCCACTCAGATAATATGAAGGAATTAACCATTATTGCAAAAAATGTCACAATGAAAAAATGTGCCACAGTTGGTTTTAATGAATTCCCAATTGATGTATATGTAGAAATTTTTACAAGTTTTTTGTTTGTTTTCTTTTGTTTACATTTCATATATGGTTTTATTTTCTTGTTTGTGCAAGACTTTGGAGAAGCAAAGTTAACTGGATTAGATGGTAGAAGCATGTTTTTTGTTGTTGTTGTTGTTTGTTGTTTTTTAAATAGGATCTTGATTTGTACCCCAGGTTTGAACTTGCAATCCTTGAACTTGCATTTTTTGTGGGGGATATACTAGGGTTCAAACTCAGGGTCTCTACCACTTGATCCATATTCCCAGCCCTTTTTGCTTCAGTTTGTTTTTCAGATAGGGTCTCGCACTTTCTCCAGCTTGCCTCAGACGTGACCAGGATCCTCCTACATCTGCCTCTCCAGTAGCTAGGACTACAGGCATGCATCACCACATCAGACCCTTTTCATTTTATTAGATCCTGCCATATGGCAGTGCCACCTGCCCTGTCAACCACCTGTTTAGACTTTCCCTCTCTTCTAGGTGGGTTTCATTGACTACATAGTGCACCCATTATGGGAGACATGGGCGGACCTCGTCCACCCAGATGCCCAGGAGATCTTGGACACATTGGAGGACAACCGGGACTGGTATTACAGTGCTATTCGACAGAGCCCGTCACCACCGCTGGAAGAGGAGCCAGGGGGGACAGGCCACCCAGCCCCACCTGATAAATTCCAGTTTGAGCTGACATTGGAGGAGGAAGAAGAGGAGGACATGTCCACAGCCCAGGATGTACTGGAAGTGCAGAGACTGACCACGGCCAAGGAACCAGTTCCAGTCACAGATGAGCTGACGGCCCAGGATGTATCCCAAGCTGAGGACTGGTTCAAGGTCAAGGGCAAGGACTACCCAGAGGTGGAGGTAGAGGAAGTGGATTTGGCACATGAAGCAGACTCATGTGGTGTGTGTGTGGGTCAGGATGAAACCACGTCCCCAGAGGAGTCCATGGTTGCTGTATGCTTTGGCAGCCCCTCTGGCCTGTCCCTTGGAAGTCCCCTTCTGCCTGCACTGAGGACCCTGTCCACTACAGAGGAGGCCCCGGGCCTCCCGGGCCTCCCCTCCACGGCGGCCGAGGTGGGGGCCCAAAAAGACCATCAGGCTGCCAAGAGGGCTTGTTGTGGCTGCTCGGGGACACCAGGGGAGGACCCCGCCCTCCTCCCGGCTTCCGGTGGGTGGGAGCCATGTGGCGACCCCACCTGAGTGCCAGCTCCCTCCCCCGTGGCTCTGCCTGCCCCTCCCCCCCTGCTCCCCACTGCCCACCTCCTCCTCCTCCGCTCCAAAGACTCTTGGCCCTCGTGAGAAAAAAGAAAATGGAAAAGCGGGGAATTTTCTCTTTTCTTTTTTTCTCCTTTCCCCCCACCCCCATCCATGGGGCCTTTTGGTGGTGGGCGGGGCTGGGGATTGAGGGGCTCAGGTCCCAGAAGGGATTTTATTTTTTGAATTTTAATTGTAACATTTTTAGAAAAAGAACAAAAAAAAAAAGAAAAAAAAAGATGAAACACAGCAACTGTAGATGCCCCCTTTCTGGTTCCTCTTTCTTCCTCTAAACTCCTCTCCCAATCCCCCACCCAATCCCTAAGTCTCAGGCTCTCTCTTCCGGCCTCTCTGGGGGTCTTTGCCGGGACCCAGGCACAGGTGTGCGCCGCCTTCTGGGCTGTTCTAATTTTTGGCGGGTCTCTAGAACCTTGCCGAGAATAGCCATTTGGGGTGGGGTCTGGTGGGGAGGAGGGTTGCTGTTCCCCCACAAAAGTCTTCCGCCTCATTTTGCACAACCCTAGCCATAGCGGGGATCAGCAAAGCCGTTGTTATAGGACAGTAGGTTGGTGTCACCTGCCACCAGCTGGCCTCCAGTCTGAGATCTGAGGAGACTCTGACTCCCCTCTGCTTGCCACCCTTCCTGGTCCATGTTGGGTTCATTTCAACTTGTCTCAGTTGGAGGAAGGGGGGTTCTGATCTGCGCACATGTACCCCCTTCTAGCTGCTTCTCCTCTTGTTTCTGCCTTAACGATTCCCTATGGCCATGGGTGGTGGGTCACAGTGGCTCCCTGTGTGCACCCTTCATGGGACAGGGCCAAGTCCAAGGTCCCCATCCCAACACCTCCCCAGAGTCCCAAGCCTCATCCAGACTGACCCAGTCCCTACTCTTTGCCCTAGGAGGAAGCAATAATGGTGTACACCCACGTCCCCGTCCTGGGCAGCCCTTCCACCCAGCACCAAAGCGAAGTCTCCTTTGCCCCCCCACCCCCCGCCGCCCATCTGCAGAGCCTCCCCCTCGCCACCAGCTGTCCCTCAGCAATATGACAGGCAGATGTAAGGCCATTCTCTCCAAGCCATGTGGGACTGCTAGAAAGGAAAGACCCCCCTTCCCCCTTCCCCATCCCCCTCTATCTTGTTCTGCAGCCGGTCAGAGCAAGAACCTATTTCATTCATTGCCTGTCCCCCCCCCCAATTCTGTGCACACAGTACTGTAGCCCCCATTCCCTCTCCCCAGCCTTCCATCTGTCTGTCCACCCACCCCATAATGCTGTACAGGGTTCATTTTTGTAGCAAAATTAGTTTCTGTCCCAGCCGATAACCGGCATGAGCCTTTTTTCTTTTGTTTTCTTCCTTTTGTTTTTGTTTGTACATACTGTAAGGTTGGTTTGTAAATTATTCTACAGAGGCGAAAAGGGAAGTGCAACTCCCCTTCCCCTGGCTGACCCTGTCGGGAAGGTGGGGAGGGGGTCTCCCTGAAGGAGGATCCCCGTTCCTGCTGTGTTATGCAAACTGTACCATAGTCCTGGGGTGACAGGATGTTGTGTTATTGTAGGGGCAAGGGCTGCCCCTTCCCCAGGAGCCTGGTGCAGGGGGACTGGCCAGAAAGAGCCCCAACCCTAGTCACAGTTCCTCTCCCCAGGGTGGGTGCAGGACCCCCATGACTGCCTGTGTGTTGTCCAATTTGATAACGAATCGGTCTGTTGATCGATAATCAATCCTTCAATCTTGTCACCAATTAAACCAAGGCTTTCACCGATGTTCTGGCTGATGTGGCTTCATTCCCTGCTTTTATTTGTTTTGGTCCTTCCCTCCCACAATGTCTGCCTGGGTTTGGGAGGAAGAAAGGTTCTGTTCCTCCCTACCCCAAGTAAATCGGTTTGTGAACTTGGGCCAGGTCACAGCACAAGGGCTCAAGGTTATCTGTCAAACACTGAGTTCAGATCAAGCGGTCTTTTTGTTGTTGTGATGGGATTGAAACCGAGAACCTCACACAATCTAGGCAATCTCTCTACCTCTGAGCCACCTTTAAAAGTGAACAAATAGGAGCTGAGGGTGCTGCCCGCCTCTCATCCCAGCACTTGGGAAGCAGAGGCAAGAGGATCTCAAGTTCCAGGACAGCCTAGCTGCACAGTGAGACCCTGCCTCAAAAAAAATAAAAATAGCCAGATGCTGGTGGCTTGCACTTGTAATGCTAGTTACTTGGGAGGCTGTGATTGGGAGGATTGAGGTTAGAGGCCAACCCAGCAAGTAGTTTTCAAGACCCCATCTCCAAAATAACCAGAACAAGATGGACTGGAGTTGTGACTCAAACAGTAGAGGGCCTGCTTTGCAAGTGTGAGGCCCTGAGTTCAAACCCCAGTCCCACCAAAAGATAAAAAAAAAATTACATCTGTACTGAGTATGTACAAACGTTTTTTATTGTCTTACTCGCTAAGCACTAGTTTGAGAACTGTACCTATTTTGTATTGTGCTGTAAGTCAACATGATGATTTAAAGTCTACAGAATTTCGTAGGTTCTATGCAAATACTACACCATTCTATATAAGGGAGTTGAGCATCTGTGGGTTTTGGTATCGGTGGGGGTCCTGGCACCATCCCCATAGACTGAGGGACAGCTGTACTGTTAATTCAACCCTTGCTAGCTTATTTTTCTGCTATTACACTAATGAACAAGGTTTTATCATTAAAATATTCTGACATGTGAGCCGGCATGCCTGTAATCCTAGCTACTCAGGAGGCAGAGATCAGGAGGATCCTTATTCAAAGCCAGCCTGGGCAAATAGTTCCAGAGACTCTATCTAAAAAAAAAAACACACACACACAAAAAAAAAAGGGCTGATGGAGTTGAAACCCCAGTACCAAAAAAAAAAAAAAAAGTGGGGGGGGTTGGAGATTGGGCAGATTGAGGTTTGAAGCCAGCCTGGACAAAATGTTAGGGAGACCCAATGTCAACCAACAAGTTAGGCATGGTAGTTTTTGGCTTCAATCCAAGCTTCCCTGGAGGCCAGAAGTAGGAGGATCACAGTCTGAGGCTGGCTTTGGACAAAAAATGTGAGACTCAGCTGGGCAACGGTGGCACCTGTAATCCTAGCTACTCAGGAGGCAGAGATCAGGAGGTTCAAAGCCAGCCCAGGCAAATAGTTCTGAGAGATCCTATCTCAAAAATACCATCACAAAAATAGGGCTGGTGGAGTGACTCAAGGTGTAGGCCCTGAGTTCAAGCCCCAGTACCACATTTTAAAAAAAAATGAGACCCTACCTGAAAACAACTAAAGCGAAGAGGAGCAGGGGGCATAGATCAAGTGGTAGAGCACCTCCCTAGCAAACCTAGTACTGCCAAACAAACAAACATTCTGACATTCATTATATCCTAATGAGCAGAATTTCCAGGTGTGGATAAAGACAGGCAAGTGGGAATGTTTGAGATTTAGACTTAGCTAGGATCTGATCTAGGGCTTCATGAAAGCACTCCACCACTGAGCTACACCTAGAGCCCTGCCTATCATCTTAAGAAAAATAAGATACATAGATGGGTGTGCCACAGTGCCTAAGCAGTTAGGGACCATGGAATCATTCCCATTTATATTCATTCTCATGTTGCCTGGGTGTAAGGGAAGGGAGATGGAAAGACTAATTGCCTAATTGCTATTTGGTGTTTTTGTTTTGGTTTGGTTTATTTGGTTTTTTCTTTGGGGCAGTACTGGGGCTTGAACTTAGGGCCTCCTACTTGCTAGGCAGGCACTCTACACCTTGAGCCAACCCTTGTTTTGGTTTTTGAGACATCTCAGCTAACCTAGAACTTGAGATCCTCCAGCCTCAACCTCTCAAGTGCTGGGATTACAGACATGAACTATTATGCCTGACTCCCAGTAAACTTTTCTCTGATGAGAAGAAAGTTCTCTCTGTGCCATCCAACAACTCAGTCACTGGGTATGTGTGGCTGTTGAGCACAGGACTGTACAGGTCTAGAACTCAAGGAGTTTATGTAAAGAACTTAGCACAGAGTGGAGTGCTGATGGCTCATGCCTATAATCCTAGCTACTCAGAAGGCAGAGATCAGGAGGTTCACAGTTCAAAGCCAGCCCGGGCAAGTAGTTCATAAGACTCTATCTTGAAAATATCCAACACAAAAAAGGGCTGGTGGAGTGACTCAAGGTCTAGGGCCTGAATTCGAGCCCCAGTACTGCAAAAAAAAAAAAAGAAAAAGAAAAGAACTTAGTGCATACAAAGTTCACCAACTTGATTGTGACAACAATAGCTCCCAGAGGACCCTTTGGGGAAAGGCAAAGCTGGAAAAATAGGTAGAGGTTTCCAGGGGATGTGAACTTTACGCAAGAAGCAAAGAGAAGACAGATACTGTCTCAGGGAGTTTCAAAGGCACGTAGAGTCGAGGAAAGGGTACTGGGTTGAGGGTCAAGAGGTGACAGCACCAATCCCAAGCTGCAGGGGATGGTTGGGTGGCCCTTGGTGAACCTTCTGGCTCTGGGCTTCAGCTTCCCCAAGTGTGAAAGGGTAGATGTGGTGTCCCAAACACCTCTTGTGTTGGGACACAGTGACAGACTGAGAATGTGGGTCAAAGAGTGAGGGTGACATGCAGTCATCAGCTCACGCTGAAATTCCCCTTGGAAAAAGAGTTTGTCTTTCTGAGGCCAAAGGCAGCAGCCAGATCCTGTAATCAGAAAGTAGAGTGGCCTAGGACTGGAATTTGAACCCAGAGCCTAACACTTGCTATGCAGGCGCTCTACCACTTGAGCTACACCCACCCCACCCCACCCCCAGCTCTTGGGGTTTTTTGAGACGGTCTTGCCATTCTCTTGGCTCCAGCTCCAGAATGCTGGGATGAGAGGCGGACACCACGGTGGGTTAAGGTACCTTATAATTATGGGAAAAGAGGAAACATCTGGCGTTTTTCTTATGTTGGAAGGCGCAAAAGTGTGGTAGATTTAGCACTCTGCCTCTAGAATCAGCTTGCTTGGATTCTAGCTCCAGCTCTCCACAGTTAGTGACTGTTAGGCTGAGTAACTTGCCCACTCTGTGCCTCAGTTTCCCTCGCTGTCAAAAGCAGGTAATGATATCTCAGTTTTCCTGGGAGGTAGCTATGTGCCAGGCACTGTTTGTTTTACGTAAATGATCACAAGTAATTCTCAAAACAGCCCTATCACGTCGTCATTATTATTACAAAAGCCGTCATAGACTCAGAAGAAAGGAGGCAGGGGTTGGCGCAC